ATTTCCTGCTGTCAGATACTGGTGCACCTGATTCTTGGGCTTTTGGACTTGGACTGAATTATATCACCAGCTGACTGGCTTTCCTGTTTGCAGATGGCAAGTTGTGGGACTTCTTGACCTCCTTAATTGTGTGAGCCAATTCCTATAATAAATATATATGGGGTCTGTCTGGAAAGTATCCAACCATGTAATGTGAAAAATAGAAATGTTTACTGAAGAATACACAAAATACAAGAAACATTGTACATAGGACAATGACACCTCAGTGCCCTTCAAAGTAGGCACCTTGGGATCTCACACAGTTCTCCGGGCGTCTTCTTAACCTAACCTGTACATGTTCAACATTTTCAGGTGTTCTGCTTGTTGCAGGCCTTCCAGAATGTGGATCACTTTCAAAAGATTCTTGACCATCTTTGAAGCATTTGTGCTACACTTCTATTTGGGCTACACTCATTGCATCATCCTTGAAAGTCTTCTGAATCATCTGAATAGTTTCCACGGAGGATTATTCAAGCTTAATGCAAAATTTGATGCAGATTCATTGCTCTACCCAGTCATTTTGAATGCAATGGTCATACAGTATACATGCTCACCCAACAGTGTCTAGCGCCCCGCCAACTAGCACGGTGAAGCTGTCATTGTTCACGCATGCGCATTACAGTGCACTCCCCTTGGCTGCCAGGTTATCCAAACCATTCTCCTTGTATTAATATTAACAATTAACTTTCCAGACAAACTGCATGGTATATCTGTATTTTATTGGTTTTATTTCTCTGGAGAGCCCTAACTAATACGAATACTAGACATTCTATTCATATAATCTTCTTGAAGAAGTATTTCTCACAGCCTGCACACGCTCAAGTGGACTGGTTGCTCCCTGTGTCTGCTACTTTGCTATGGTCCTTTTGCCATCATAGTGCTGTATGAGTTTACTAGGGCTGCCATAACAAAAGTATCACAGACTGAGTGGCTTAAAAACAGAAATTTATTTTCTCACAGTTCTGGAGGCTGAAAATCTACAATCAAGGTGTCAGCAGCATCAGTTTCTCCTGAGGCCTTTCTTCTGGGCTTACAGATGGTCGCCTTCTTGCTGTAGCCTTACATGGCGCTTTCTCTGTGCACATATAATCCTGCTGTCTCTCTCTGTCTGTTTTTATAAGGACACCAGTCATACTGGATTATAACCCACTGTTATGACCTCATTTAACCGTAATCACCTCCTTAAAGGCCCTGTCTCCACATACAGTCCCATTAGGGGTTAGAGCTTCAACATATAAATTAGGAGGGGACATAATTCAGTCGATAGCACCCAGGATTGCCTTTTTTAATTTCCTCTGCTGAACTTCTTGTTTCCTGGATCTTAGAGCTTTATCTTTCTTGGTTTACATCATTGTTTTGGTGAAATTTATCCTCCAGTAACATCCAAAGAGGGGAAAATCTGTGAGCGCTCATATATCTGAAAGCATCTTTTTTCCATTTTTCACATTTAATGGTTTGATGGCTGAATTGTGGTTACAAATACTGAGGAGCAATTTCTCCCCTCCACTCAAGTTTTAGTTAAGCTAACTTCTTTGACTTCTTTGTTCTGTTTTTCTGCAGGTGGGGGTTGTCTCTTGTTTATTCTTGCACAGGGCATGGAGTCCTTGCATTGTCGGCTCTGTGTGAGCGTATCCATTTATGATTCCCATCTTTAGTGAGCCTTAGACTTTGTCTTCTTTCTCCCTTGCCCCACAGGCCATTAAAATGGAAGCTCAGATCGTCTGGACTCGGCAAATGCTCTCAGAACAAAAGCCTGCATCACTACTCATTCATGCCTCTGAATTACCCCTCTCACTTTGTTTTTGGGTTACCTAATTTCCTGCCAGATTAGCAATGCATTTAAAAATATATTCCCTATATTTTATCCAGCAATCATAGTTGTTTGGAGGATGGCTCAAAGTCACTAGTCCACCTGGAAATGGTAGTCATATTCATTGTAAAGAACAGAATACCTTTAAAATGTAGGCATAATTGCAACTGGAGAAAATTTCTAATGGACAAATGAGTTATTATTCACTTAGTAAGATTTATGTTAAAGTACTAGCGAGTATTGGCCTCTATATGTTTTCTTGGTCTCATTTCGGTTATAATTGTTAAGTTTCAACTCTCAGCTTAGTTTCTCATAGAAACAATGTTGTTTAGATATGCTTTGTTTAGCTAATATGTATGGAATGAACTACTCCACATAGATACATTTTCCTAAGTAACATCTACCTCTTGAAATTGCCAAAACTGTTTTAGTCATATTAAATGGACTATTTTCAAAATGGACAAATTGTATTTGGCACTTTTTAGCCTTGATAAATTAAGTAGTATGGGCATCAATTAACTTTTTCTTCATCACTCGGAGTCATTGTTACTAAGAGCACTATGGTCCAGTGGAAGAACTTAGAACTTTGAACTAAGATCTGGATACAAATATTGGCAGTGTTACTTACTAACAGTGTGATCTTAGCCAAGTTACTTATCAATGATGTGGTGAAGCGAGCTTGTGCTGGCTCATGAGAGCCTGTTAAGCTTGTGTGAGCTGATTCGTAAACATGGGCATTATTAAAAATTAACTGATATAAACTTTTAAGTAAATAATTTATATCAAAAGTTGATAAATACTTAAAATTACTACTGCCTAATTCTTGTGCTACATTTTACTATTTTCTATGTCCTTAAAGTAATTTAGATTTCTTGTATCTGTACAGCAGAAATACTGTAAAGTGGTATGCTACTACATATCTTTTCCTAACTCTGCCTTCAGTAATATCATGTTGCATATGAGTTGCTTGAAATTGGTCATGGTGGGTATATTTCCACCACAGAAATTGGCAGGTGCTACAAGTCAGTATTTGATTTATTGTTTCGTTGGTTGTCTAAGATCTAAGAAATAGACAATGTTAAAAGAGAAAGTGTTATTAATAATAATGCAGACTAAACTTAAAATTATGTCATGAGTTGCCCAAAAAATTGAGGAAATATTCTTTCAGTGTTTGAAAACTGTTACACCATCTCATGTCACTGGTGAACAAGTGAAGTTCTAGTATGTCTTTGTTGTTTTCCTTTCATTTTTTTCTGTTAATTTAAGTAAAAATAGCATCCAACAGTCATGTGAGAACATCATTTGTCAGGCTGGTTACTAATATAGGAGTTTGGCAAAAATCTAAAAGATAATTCCATAAACATCAATTGGCTATATGGAACTTATGGTAAGAAAACATTGCAGAATTTATAACATTATTATTTATAAATTTTGTATTGTACATTCTTCGTATCAGTCAGATTGATAGTAAACTTATAGGTATATGCATTATCTAACACATAGCCAGTTAGATCTATACCAGCACCCCTCTGCTTAAGCTGAGACTGAGCTTTTTCATTTAGTAAATCAATCACTCAAAACTATAAGCACCATACTTGAAAAAATTATATTTTTGTGTTTGTACATATTTCATTTTAAAATTGAATACCAATATTCATTCATCCCATCCTTCTAGACCCCATATGTAGACATACTTGAGAGCCATTGGAATGTATAAAATTATTTGCTTCTATAATTATAAGACTCTAAAGTAAAATACTTTTTTAATTTGCATGACTTCTTTGTATAGATATTTAGCAGCCTACCTGGACATCAATGGTCATTTTTGGTTTTCTAAGAGCTCCTCCTTTTAGCAGCCTTTTCTGTCTCTTCACGGTCTTATCCCATAACTTCTTCTTACTCTTGCCGTCCTGTCTTTGGACTGCAGACTATACCTTATCCTTCTGGAACTGTGCACAAAATATGAGTACATGAATGCTCAGTGAGGACCTGGAAAACATTTCTGTAATTGCTTTCATCTACTTTAGCTGTGACTTCTTTTCCTATATAAAAAATTATGATAAAAATATTTTAGGCATATGAAGAGGGAATGCAAATAATAACCAGCTCCTCATGTACCTTCTATCTAGTTTAAGGAACAAAACAAAGAGATGCAATTGAAGGCCCCTTGTGCTCCTCCCTAGTTCCATTTCCTTCTCTTTCTTCCCAAAAGTAACCACTAATTTGAATTTATCATTTTCAGATGTTGTTATACTTTTATCTCATATGTATATATTTTGAAAATACATGGATTACTTTACATATATTTAAATATACAAAACATTATAAACATACCGTATACGTTCTTTTATTAAATTAATAAACTGTATATTTTAGACCAGTTTTAAGCTTGTAGAAAAATTGATTGGAAAGAGACCACCTCTGACTTTAGCCTACATTTGGATAAATGCTCTTCTCTGGTTTCTATTAAAGGGAAGGGCCTTTACATTGGCTGTTTTGCAATTGCCTGTTTAGCTAAGTTCCGCAAGAACGTGACACACAACATAGTTCACTCTGGTGTCCCCTGTGCTTGGCACAGAGCCTGACACACACATTTGTTGAATTAAGGGAGATATGGATGAATGAATTGCAGATACCAATATCATATCAACAGTAGTGGAAACTAGCGCCCCCTCTCCCCCAAATAATGGACTGCACCATCACAGGCTCCACTGACAGGTAACAGGAGAATAGGGTTTATGTGTTGAGGGCCATTCATAAGGTCCCCAGACTCTGTCATGCACAAGGACAAGGCATGTCAGTCGTGGCCAGGGGGAATGTTCATAAGGAGGAGATGTTTTCAACTCAGACATCCATAAGCTGGGGCCTGCCTCTGTTTACCAGCTGGGAGATCTTCAGATAATGAGCCATGAAAGTCTGCTATGCCACAGCGCTACACAATAATTTTTCATTTGCCACCAGTCAGCTTCAGGGATCAAGGACAGCTAAACACATAACCCGCTCATGCATGTTATTTTAAAGGCATATTTTAAAGTTATAAATATGGTACATTGAGTTAATGAGGTATGTTCTTTTGGTGACAAATATTTACATTCTGCATATGCCTCTTGATGTCAAGAGTGTAACTGTTTCATTTTCTTCTTTTTCTCAGGAGGCTGGGATGCAGATGGAAAAGGCCCTTGTGTCTGGGACACATTTACCCATCAGGGAGGAGAGAGAGTTTTCAAGAACCAGACTGGCGATGTAGCTTGTGGCAGCTACACTCTGTGGGAGGAAGATTTGAAATGTATCAAACAGCTTGGATTGACTCATTACCGCTTCTCTCTTTCCTGGTCACGTCTGTTACCTGATGGGACGACAGGTTTCATCAACCAGAAAGGCAAGTGTTTCTTAAAAATAGAAGGTTGCAGCTTTAATTCAAGGTTATTGCTGCAGTCTGGCATAATTAATCCAGTATGCTATTCTGTGTTGTAGCTTTGAAATTGCGAGTTTTTAGAGTGATTATAGGATAAATTTTTTGAAATGAGTTGGCATTAGCTTGCACAATAATATTTTGGTTTCTCTTGACTGTTGAGATCTTTGTTGTGGGGGGAGGGTAGATGGGCAGAAGGAGGTTAGAATGAGTATTTTAATAATGTAAGATGTTATCTCAGTGTTAACCTGAAGATGAATTTTTAAAAGTTGTTGTATTAAAATATTTTCAGTTGTGTAACCCTGTGATGAGTTATGAAAAGCCCTGAAGAACTCGAGATGATTCTGAGCATTTCAATTAGAGTTGAGTTAGTGGAGCTAATTAACTGGCCTAGGAGTTAGCACCAGGCCCCTGGAGTTCACTTACTTGAGATTAAGCGCCAGCTATATTGGTTACTATTAATATCTGTATAAGCACTTCTTGGGCATCTCTGGGTGCCTCAGTTTCCCCATGAGTAGAAAGGAATGCTATAATAGTTACTACTTCAGAGAGTTTTTGGAAGATTGAATGAAATAATCTTTGGAAAGTGCTTGTCACAGTAGTTAACGTATCATAAGCATTCAATAAGTGTTAGCTCTTCTTATTATGCCTTGTAATTAAAAAAAGACTACTCACTGCCCTATTGAATGCATGTTATTCATGAGGTATTTTATACCCATTTTCTCTGATCCTCACAATCAGTAAGGAAGATATAATGATCATATCTTACAGAAGTGCATGTCCAAATTCACACATTTGACAAGTGGTAGATCTGGAATTTAAACCCAAGATCTGACTAGCTGCTTCCACATAACAGAGTTGGATAACTATGACCTGAAGGTCAAATCTGGCCTGCTGCCGAATTTTGTAAATAATCTTTTGTTGGAACACATCCATGCCCACTCATTGCACGTCGCCTATGTTGCTTTTCCACTATAATGGCAGAATTAAGTACTTGGGGCAGATACAACATGGCCTGCACAGCCTCAAATATTTATTATCTGATCCTTTACAGGAAAAGTTTGCCAACCCTGGCACTACAACATATTGCTTCTTAATAAAGACTTTTTGTTACTACTTTGTCCTGGAAAAGATTTCACACTACTCATAGGGCTGGGGATAAGGAAAGCAAGTGAGGCGCCTAGGGTATAAAATGTAAGGAGGATCTGAAATGCAGGATTAACATTCATGTGACCTGAAAATGAGCGCACCTGCTTGCCTCACCACACTTACTGCAAGAACCCACATTAATGCAAGAGGCTCTTTTTGAGTAAGTTGTATGATTTCTTACATAGAACAACCCATGACAACAATTCTCACATGGACTTGTGCACTGAAATGCTCATTTTATGTAAGGTGGGGCAATCTTCACATTGTGAAATAGAATTACAACTCATGCATTAGAATGAATAGACAACCTACAGAATGGGAGAAAATATTTGCATTCTGTATACCTGATAAAGGACTGATAACTAGATTCTACATAGAACTCAGGAAAATCAGCAAGAAAAAAAATCAAACAACCCCATTAAAAAGTGGGCAAAGGACATGAACAGAAACTTTTCAAAAGATAGACTAATAGCCAAGAAACATATGAAAGAATGCCCCACATCTCCATAATCATCAGGGAAATGCAAATCAAAACCACAATGAGATATCAGTTAACTCCAGTGAGAATGACTTTTATCAAAAAGTCCTCAAACAACCAACATTGGTGTGAATGTAGAGAGATAGGAACAATCATACACTGCTGGTGGGACTTCAAAGTAGTGCAACCTCTGTGAAAAG